GCCCGCAGGGATGCCCGCCGTCTGCAGCCCCGGCGTGGTGCCCGTGCCCCCAGCCGTGAGCGCCCAGCCCCGCTGCAGCGAGGAGGACCTGAAGGCCATCCAGGACATGTTCCCCAACATGGACCGGGAGGTGATCCGCTCGGTGCTGGAGGCCCAGAGAGGGAATCGGGACGCGGCCGTCAACTCCCTGCTCCAGATGGGCGAGGACTCCTAGGCCCGCCGGCCCCCGCGGCCTGGGGCCGCCCCGCTCTCCGTAGCCCCTCCCCCGCGTCCGGATGCATGCGGGCTCCCCGTCCCCAGCCCTCCTGGCGGGTGCCCCCCGTGCAGGGGCATGCCGGCGCATCGGCGCATCCTCCCGCCCCACGGGCCGGAGCCCAGTCGCCTTCGCTTGGGGATGTTTCCGGAACTTGAGCTGAAAGCGCCTGCCTCTCCCTCACCGTTCTTTTGGTTCTGGGCCGCGCCGGTGCCCTGGGGCCGGGAAGCCGGCCCGGGCGCTTGCCACCAGGGCCGCGGCGGGGAGGCGGGAGCCCTGCCCCATTGGCCTGCACCCAGTCGGTGCCCCGGGTGGATCTGAGGGGAGGGCAGGTGCGGCCGGCCCTGCGGGCGGTGGGGGCGCAGGTGGTGGGCCCGCGGCTGCCCAGGCCCGGCTGAGAGACGCCCGGGGGGGCGTGGCCTCGCGGACGTGAGCACTTTAATACAGGCGATTCGAGGACCCCGCCGGCCTGCAGTCCTTGGGCTCCCGGCGCCGTGCCGCCCCCTCCCCACAGCTGGGCGACCCCACCCCTCAGACTGACGGCCCTGCTCTCTGGGAAGGAGACCAGAGCGGGGGACCCGAGCTTCCGGCAGTGGTGACGGGCCTGGACCCTGAGAGAGGCTCCTGGGGCCGGCCTGCAGGTGACCCGGGAGCAGGGGGTGGCCGGTCCCCAAAGCAAGCCAGGCTGACGCCACCGAAGGGCGCTGCCTTCTCGGGCTCGTTCCCAGGTGGCGGCCGGGGGGGCCCTCCCTGGGCAGCG